TCAAACTAAAATCCTTGCCCTACTACTCCCTGGAAGACGATTCCATGTCTCAAGCGTTGAACTATGTGCAAGTTATATACACCACTAAAGCATTTGCCACAGTTCAGTTGAACTGTCAAGCAAGGCAGTATGTGTCTGCTCACCATGCAAATATCTGCCAGGCACTGATGGCAGAGAATGGCAGGCAACGCAGTCATCATAACGTTTAACTTGCCAGACTTTTAAACAGGTTCATTTTATAAATCCTGCCTCGGGCATCACTCGAAAAGTCCTCTTCACACATTTCGACATTTTACTTACACTTTGAGTGGCGTATTTGCCGCAATCGTCCACTTCCGGTGGGATTTCCAGCAGGTACTGAAAGCCGATTTTCATCTTGCCCTTATGGTTCAACGCATGTGCACAAACAATAAAATTTAGACCAATGTTAAAATCCAGCTTCGCCTCTGTGCATGGCTCGAAGATGCTCAGCGCGTCTTCATACCTTTTCATTTTGATGTAAGCAAGTCCGATGTTGTTCATGATTCTACGCCTGCAATGGAATGTTCATAGCAGCGTCTGTTAGTTTGTTATTTCTAGTTTAAATTAAATTAAATTTGTATCGTTATGCAAATTTCTGATGAGCACCAATAAATAAATCATTGAAACTGCTTGAGTGCTATTTTTCATAGAAGACGTCGCCCAGGAAAGGAAGTTTTACAGAAACTGGCTGCTGCACAAAGATGGTTTAAGGTCTTTCGTCAAGCAACAACGTTGTCAATCAACAGGTGCATTCTGACAAAACAGCTTAACATTTATGACAATGACTAAACATTTCCTATTTCCTAAAGATAGAGGAATTGCAAAATGACTTCACGCCCATTTATATGTCTTAGCATTGTTTACCATTTAATAATATTATTCAAAATTCCCGTGTTGTCAGATCTGGTGTATTCCTTGAAATGTGAAAAATTTCCGTTTATCTATTTTGAATGAGCTATTTCCCTCCCGAGTTTCAATTGAAAGAAGTTTGGTACAAGGAAATATACTGAGTTTGAAGAAAACACCTCAAAAGGAAGAGGTAAGAAAATACAGATGAGTACCTACATAGATCAGTCATCTTTTTTCCTAGGCGATTTAAAGAAATGTTATCGCCGTACCAACAAGACCTCTTAAGGCGCTGGCCCACTGCATTTTAGAAATATGAATAAGCATTCATTCCCAGTGCATTATCTGGCCAAGGTAGCATTAATATGCGGGTATTCAGAAGTCCGAAACAAACTGCATCGTGCAGGAAGTTATGTTCTGCCCTGCCGCCGTCAATCAACCATTATCGCACTACATGTCTGCAGACACACCCAGCTGGTGGATGACATATGGTGGCCATGACAGGTCCCAACGTTCCACTGCCAGCTGATATATTGTGAGCGTCAGCGATGAAGGGGAACTGTATAACACTAAGAACAGAGTCGCATAAGTTTGTCATGGCAAGTCCCACAATAGTTTTATCGAATATTACATTAAATGGACCATCCGATCAGCAGCACTGTATTAATTCACTCGATTGTATTAATCAGCTGGCCTTAGGAATCCAGGAACAACGAAAATTGCCGGTTCGGATTTGCAAAGATGTAGATCATGAATGTCGGGGGTTTGGAGATTGAGCAAGGCGTATTAAAAAGTCAATCGTGTTGTGCACAATGTAGCTTTCTAAAAATGTCTATTACAGCAAAGATTCATCACTATCTTCACATCACGACTAATCTTCTGGACAGAAGTGATGGGTGGAAGCGTCATTGTAGCGGTTAGGCGGACTGCTGTAAAATATTCCACACTCAGTGAGGACTTAATATTAGTTAGCAGAGTATGACTGAACTCTTGAACACAGGTGATACCAGTAGAACTCGAGAATAGGAAAGTGAATCAGCTCTATTTGACCAATTGGTTTGACTTTATCCTATGAATTTTTCAACTTGGCCCGTAATGGCGAAAGTACAACATGCGACATGAATGAATAAAATAGCCACACATGCACATCTTAGAGAATATTTCAGGTTTATCATGTTGCAAATGATGTTCTATCGGGGAAAAATTTTGAACAAATACGGTGGCATCACATACCGAATAGTTCTACAACTGCAAGCCGCTCAGGACGATGATTGTTACAAGTAAAAATGACAAATTCACTTACAAAAACCTGTAACTCCATCAGATGTACTAGGAATCGTAACCTGCAATAATAACTTGGAATATTAAGATAAAAATTCTTTTGCATCCCTGAAGCGACAGAAATGTTTGGCTCCAGAGGAATTTTCAGCATAGAGCTATAATAGTTGAATACGAATATTTAACGAATGCATATGAGTGCTTTATATTCTCAGAAGTACAGCATGTCAAAAATATTAATTAACCCATTCAATATAATAAAAATCCAATTCAATATAAAGTACCATTTACGCAAGTTTCAATTAAATGCGATTGGCGTTGAATGTAAAAACATAATATAAAGCAAAGAGACAGTAGATGTAAT